TGGAATAGGATCTCGGCCGCCATGCACGACCCAGGAGCATCTGCTTGTGGCACTATCCATCGCCACCGCGCCAGTCACTGGAGATGCGACAGTTCGGTGAACCTGTTGGAATCTAGAAGACACCTCCCGGCTGGCTCTGAACACAATGTGACCAGACGGGCTATTAGGCGTTAACTAAAACAGAGCCTATGTGCTGACAAGGAAGCCTGGTGAACCAGTAGGGCTAAAAAAATGGAGGAGGCAGGAGCAGTAGGCAATTACCGCAAGCTTTTCCAGCTAACCCGCACCACTGGTCCCAGAAAACCAGGTGTCAGTGAGACAATCAGAGACAGAGCGGGTGCGCTGATACACAATAAGGAGCGCCGTATGGCTCGTTATGAGGAACACTTTCAAGATCAGTTCAGTTGGCCCCCTGCTCCTGGACCTCTTCCTACTCAGGTGATGCATGACGAGCCATGGACGGTTAGTTTAGAGCCTCCATCGGAGGCAGAGGTCCGAAACGCGATCACAATCCTCAATCGTTTTCGTGCCGCTGGCCCGGATTCCCTACCACCTGCACTATTTAAGGATAGAAGTGAGGTCCTCTGCAAAGCACTGACCTCCCTATTTGAACGTATATGCAAGAAAGAGAGTGTCCCGGCTACTTGGACCGAATCGATTATAGTGGCAATATGCAAGAAGGGCAGTTGCACAGACTGTGCCAACCACAGGGGTATTAGCCTAACGCCAGTTGTGACAAAATTATTGGCCTCGATTATCGTTCGTCGTCTCACTGCGGAACGGGAATCTCGGATTAATGAAGAGTAGGCCAGTTTCCGCCCAGGACGTGGCTGTGTAGACCATATATTCACTTTGCGGCCGGTGCTAGAGCAGCGCCATGCATACCGCAGACCGACAATAGCTGTGTTCCTCGATTTCAAGAGTGCGTTCGATTCAGTTGATCGAAATACTTACGCGGAAAGGTGTCCCCACGAAATATGTGAACATTCTTCGTGCTCTATACTCGAACACTACAGGCCGCGTCAGAGTCTACGGTGGCCTATCAGATAGCTTTCCGACCACAAGTGGCGTTCGTCAGCGTTGTCCGATTTCCTCACTTTTGTTCAATTTCATCGTGGATTCTATCATGGAGTGTTCTCTTGCGGAATCTCACGATGTAGACGTTAAAGTACTGCCTGGCGAAAGGTTAGTTGATCTTGATTGCGCGGACGATATCGTCTTGCTTTTCGACGATGTTGCGGCGGCCCAATCAACACTGAATAGCTTGTCCAGAGTGGTCCCATTATTTGGTATGCCCTTCGCACCTTCTAAGTGCAAAGTGTTGATGCAGGACCACCAGCCACTTGTTGACCTCTTGAAGCTTGCTAACGAGGAACTCGATGTGGTTGATCAATTCACTTATCTTGGCAGCTTCATCAGCAATGATGGGCGCATAGATACTGACGTCAGCTCACGCATTGCAAAGGCCAGAGCTGCCTTCTTGAACCTGCGTCATATTTGGCGACAGAAGGGAGTTTCCCTCCGTCTGAAAGGTCGTGTATACAACGCCACAGTGAGGACCATTCTGCTCTATGGTAGTGAGACTTGGCCCCTTTGGTCTGAAGATCTGAGGCGCCTTCAAGTGTTTGATCATCGTTGTCTGCGAAGCATTGCTGGTGTCGGATGGCACCAGCGGGTCCGTAACGATGATGTGCGTAGGCGAGTACTAGGTAGCATTTACAGGAGTTAGCTCCCACACTCACGCTTGGTCACGATCACGTTCGGCTCTAACACGATTTGTTTCTCTACGTTCAACTGAGCTGGGTTGTTATCACATTGCAAGTAGGTTCAGAATCACACGCACTAAACTAATCAATGGTGACAGGCAAGACAAACTCTACCCCCGCCTTGTTTTTCCTAGTACGCTGGAGAGGGGAATTATTGACTCTAAACTGTCAAGACAATCATGTGGGATCGCGTGTTACTAGCTGAGTTTGATTAGCCAAGCGCACGGGTGTCACGAGTTATCATTGATGTGAGAGCGCGTAGTTATCATTCACCGGTATGCTTCAATCCTTATCATGTTAGTCACAGCCTGGCAAATAAGGTGGCCAGTTACTAAAACCTAACAACCGTGGACTGTGCTAGTGGTGGTAACATCAGACGCAACGACAGTGCTTACATCAGTTGTTTTAAATCTACTCAGGCCGCATGAGACAAGATTCCGTATAAGTGTAAATTGATAATGGACTAAATAGGACACTGAGTCGAGGAATCTAAAAAATGCATCTAAACAGCGTACATGCATACGGTTGCATTGTGGCGAATAGTGCTATGGCAAAGATTCCAGGAAACAGCTCGCAAATGACCCTATATTCAAACGTGTAACCGGGAGATCCATTTAAGGAACTCCATCGCTCGTCCCTGTCCTCATCTGGCGTAACCACTCCCTGTAAGCATAGCTAGCAGCAAACTGAGTCCTGAGATTATCACCACAATTAAAGGGTTAAACTTTCTCCCGTCCTGAAGAGAATCTTTGCTTATATGAAGCGGCACCTCAAGGAGACACGTGATCTACCAGTGCTAGAGGGCACGGACGGACTGTCCTTAACATTCAGTAGTGAGCGCATATCCACGTTGGCGGCGCACTTCGCTCCCGTGTTTGCAAATGATCAAGTGTCCGTACCGAGTTTGACGTGTATCGCGCTTACCGAACAAGACAGTTTGATTTGCGGTGTAGAATAGGTGCGCCAACTACTCGCCATACTGGACGACATGGAATATGCTGGCCCAGACGGACTCCACCTACTGATTCTCCAGTCCCTACAGGCCATCGTCACAACTTTCGTGACTGACTTGTTCAACAGATCGAAGGTTCATTTCTGATTGATTGGAAATGCTCGGTGATAAGGCCGATTTCGAAAGGCGGTGACCCGAGCAAAGTAGACAATTACAGGCCAATTTGTCTGACACCTGCTTTAGCCAGGGGTACCGAGAAGATCGTGTAGAAGGGCTTACTGCAGCTGCTCCAATCAAAGGATATAATGACGAGCGCACAGCACAGCTTTATGTTTGGTCGCTCGTGCATTACCAACTTATTGGTGACGAGGCATGAATGGTTGCAGGTAGTAAACCAGGGGAAGTTTGTCGACTTAATGTACATCAATTGCAGTAAAGCGTTCGACAAGGTAAACCATGGAGTCCTCCTCCGAAAACTAAGAGTGTGCAGTGTTGGTGGGTCACTGCACTAGTGGATCCAGGACCTTCGTTTGGCGAAAGTGGAGAGTACATTTTGACGGCCATCTAACCGACTGGTATCCTTCTACCAGTGACGTACCCCAAGGCACAGTGCTGGGTCCTAATCCCCGCCTAATCCACACCAAGGATCTGAATCAGGTTATTCGGTCGTCGTGTGACCTGTTTGTAGATGACCTGAAGATTTGGAGAGCGCTAAGCACCCCAAACGACTGCGACCTACTTCAGCAAGACCTCCACCGACTGTCCATGTGGTCTGTAGAAGTCCGCTTCCCGGTTAACACAAGCAGGTTGGTGTTCAGGAACCTTGGTATGGGTGGTGACGGCCGAGCTTACAACATTGACGGTCAACCGCTACATTCCACGCCTTACATGAAGGACCTAAGTGCACACTTGCGCTATGATATGAAGTCCGTGGACAGCACGAACAGGCTACATCGTAACGGATTGCGCTTGCTTTGAGAGCTCCAAAGCAGTTTCTACACTTGATCTGAAGAAGTCGTCACCCGAATCTTCTCTTCCATTATAAGACGAATATTAGAGTACGAGTCGCCTGCCTACAGTCCAATCACCCGAGGCGAGTCCAGAAGATCAAACGAGTCCAATAAGTCGCTGCCTGGCTCATTCCTGGTTTACGAGGATAGACGTACGAAGATCGGTGTGGGAAACTAGGAGTGTACATCTTATCCATCGTCGCGTGCGAGTGAGTCTCATCGTTACCTACAGCACATAACATCTCGGTGACTTACCCATGTTGTGGCCGTTGCTCCGTTTTCGACCTCCATGCAACATAGGCGGAAACCAGTACAAGTATACAGTACCGGAGGTAAAGCGAGTTCTCCACTCCCAGTGCTTCGGACGGAGAGCGGAAAATGTATGGAACAGTCTGCCAGAACATGCCTGAAGGCCAAATCTCCGCAGCATTACAAAAACTTTGCTGGATTTATATTTCACCATCATTCGATTCAGGGGACGACTGAACAGTAAAAACGACGTTTCACATTTACGGACCCAGTGATACTGTAAGTCAGACAAGTGTAAATGCTACATAAGAAATTGAACAAGATTTTGATCATATTCCGATGGAGTTTTACGGGTTTAAATGTCAAGTTGCGCCCACAATACAGTAACCGATATTCAATAGTGGCAACTCAGACTACGCCTACTCACCACAGATGTGTGAGGTTCCACTGAGACAGCTGGAATCAATAATATCGAAAACATAAAAATAGGTTCTTTATTAACGGCAAAAGTACCCCGAGTATCCAAAGGCTTTCCAAAGGGGAAATCAGTGCTGCGGGTTGAAAAATTAACTACTAAAAGGTCGCGCGCATCTTTTTCATAACGTTGCAAACACAAAAACAGTGAATCTACACACGATGCCTAGGCCAGTAACAAAAGTGGAAATACTCAAAAGCCGACCAGAAATCTTTTCATTTAATAAAGCCACATAGTACTGCACACTACACGCTAAAGCAGATGCCCAAAAGGTAAATAGTCTTGTTTTCTACAAACAGTGCAGGAAAGGGATATATTTGACGCTGGATAAGTTTGCACAAAACAGGCAGTCTAATGTTCTGGCGCCACAAGATGGAGCTAAAGATAAGTAAAAACATGATAGTAGCTTGGTGCTGGTAATTGTATATGGTTTAGGAAACCAAAGCAAATGAAGCAAATACTAACCCTAATAGAAATGGCCACCGACTCTTCCAAGAAAATCAACTATAAGCAAAATATAGAATGGACGGATGTGATATGGAACTTACTTTGGGCGAAGTCGTGATAAGCGTGTGGAATTCTTGATACCATCGTTCGGCTTCCTCAAATGTAAGACACGGAAAGGAGGTGGTTTCCGGAACATGACCCAAATACCTTATTCGCTTGTTTACGGGGACAAGAGATGGTTTAGTAGCCTCCAATGAAGAAGGACCTGGTGATTGAACACACCCAGAGAGCGGATTGTTTGAGTTCTTGTGGGACGAAAGACCGATTTCGCGAGCGGATGAAGTGCGTCGATGAACAGAACGACGACGTTGTGCCCGAGTTTTAGCCTCTGAAGCTGTGATAGTGATGACTTCAGCTGTGCAGGGAATGTCCGAGGAAGGAGAATCCATGACGGTTGACAGGTCAGGGGTCAGAGGGTCCTCTGACGCATTTCCCGTCCTGGTTTTTTGGGTTGATAATGGAGAGGGAGGAACCTTAGTTGACGCTGCCGAAGATATTGCAAGACCGTTAGCACACGTTGAGGAATACTTCAGAGATGACGAGCATAGGCTGACGGCAGGCCTTAGCCTAGAAGGGACGGCTGGTTCCTCATGCATGGAACTGGTGAGACGATTCTCTATGAACCCAAGGACAATGGAAACGAAGGTAAGGTCTGGCTCGATAACACAAGTGGCCGAATCAGTTGAACCCAGCCTAGCGACCCCAGAATACGAAGAGTCGGAATCTGACGCAGGGTTGAAGTTTGAATTAAACAGAATCTCACGCATCAAATCTGTCAGATTGTCAACAGAAGCTAACGGAAAGTGACGACGCCATGAGCGAATTGAACCGCTCGACTGTCCCGCACGAAGTGTCATTAGAATTGGATGAGGGTCGTGCGTTTATAAGGCTGCGGGTGGACAGAGATGAAAGAAATGAGAAGTATTCGATATGAAGAAATACTAAGATCGTATAAGCCTCAGAAGTTATTTCTATATATACCTGCGGTTAAAGAAATAAAACATTTCCCCAAACCTCTGCCTACTCGGAGATATTGAAGGGTCATCGTATGTTAACCATCAGTCTTATGGAGAGTGGTTCAGATATATTTTAATACAAGCCATATATTTGAAGAAACCATTCATTTTTCGAAATCCCACAACCTTTCAAATACAGCCAAACATTGTATCCCAGTCAATCACTACGCCCCAAGCTTTTTCAGTGAGTTGGCCGCTACATTTCCTGGTCTTCTGACAACTTGCAATTAAGTACTGTTGGATTTCCTAAACCTGCAATCCACGCTTGCTTGTTTCGTCGCACTTCAAGAGGGATTATTAATTTGGCAGACAGAAAAACCGATTTCATAAAGCCGCCTACTTTCTAGATCGACTGCTGTGGTGTCTAGTAGATGGAAGAAAGGTTCGCTGATGTAAAACAGTGTTACATTCTCACCGTGAACTTGAGATTAAGTAATTACTAGGGTATCCATTGGGCGAATTCTACGCACTGTTGACCGTGCCGGTGAGTGCAGCCCATCTCTATAACTAGTGTTGATGTTCTTTGTCATCTAGCACACTGTTTATGCAACAGAACACAGCATTATCACGAGCAGCCAATCTGCAGTTGATCGCATCTCGCATTGTCGAAAAATAAAATGCAAAGAACAAGAAGAATGAATTGAGAATAAAGGAGAGTTGAAACTCACTTTACTAAACTAGCAAAGATCACGTGAAACAACGGGGTGACCACGATAACCAACAGTTTAAAGTTAAAAGGAACAATAAAGTAAGAAGAACTGTCGGAGGCTGATGTTTCGGTCATCACCATGACACATTAGCTGAAGGTGAAAAACACACAAAGATAAGATAGATGAAAATGCGAGATAATAAACGTCATGGAAGGTTAAAAATACAACAGGCAACACATTGGTTAGTAGCATTATGTTTCAAGACAGAGATCCTGGTAGGAGGGGTAAGATAAGCGGGATGGGGGGGCAGAGAAAATTACGAACGTCATTGAGGTCGGATACTTGTCATGTCAACAAGTGTATCCAACCAGACGTGATCATATTCCTTCGGTCCACAGCCAGGCAGTCGAGAGACACGAACCGACTCCAAGTCCGGAGTGAGGGCCTTCATACATATTTACCCAGCCATCGCTTTGGCTCCACTCGTCCCCTTACATCCACACCTCGGGCGCGCAAACAATGCGCGAAGCATGAGTCGGTATACTGGAATACGCAACATATGGCCCAGCCATCGGAGCCTAGTAAGTGAAATAACGGTGCTGAGCGGCTCACTCGCTTTTCCTACACCAAATACACGACGCCGAACACGCTCATTGCTCAAGCGATGCTCCCACCAAACATGATCTAAGCTTCGAAGACAGCGATGGTCGAACGTAACTGTCCGGGAGAAAGTAAGAATTGCCTTGGAAATTCCCTATTTTAGCGATTAATCGATTATTAACGATTATCGCATCGATTTCGAACGTTCCTGAATGTTCTTCTTCTACACGTGATCAAAATCCACCTGACCTCTCGGGAAAAGATATGGGGAACCACTAACCTTGGCAGCTGACCTTCCAATTCTAGAAGTCGAAGGTCAGCAGAGACCTATAAATACAGCCAGGGTCCTCAGTCGTTGTACAGTGTTCGTTGGCTGCGATTAATACGTTATTTGTCAGGGTCATTGGCGTTCTGCTTTTTTCCTTCGGTTGGGCTAGAAGTTTTGCGGAGCAGTGAATTGTTATTTTTGGAGTTGCGTCTAGTGAGAAGATTATAACAAATGGCGACGGAGAAAAGTGGAAATGTGATGAATTTTTCTGCCGAACAATTTCAAAAGCTGCTTTTTCAACAGCAAGCTCAAATGGAGGCGCAAATGAAAATGATTGAAAATCTGACAAAATGCTTGAGTTTGCAGACAACTGGAGCAGCGACGCGGGACACGCAGGCGAGTTCTGTTGATCTTCTCACGAACGCTATCACTGAATTCCATTATGATGCGGATTCTGGAAGCACTTTCGAAGCGTGGTTCAAGCGCTGGGAAGACATGTTCCAGACGGACTTCAGTCGTCAGGACGACTCCTGGAAAGTGCGATTGCTACTCCGCAAGCTCGGAATAAGTGAACATTCAAGGTTCATAGACCACATTTTGCCCAAACAGCCGAAGGATCTGACATTTGACGAAGCAGTGTCGCAGTTGAAGGAAATTTTTGGTGAGTCGGTATCTTTGTTTAGTATTCGCTATCAATGCCTGAAAATAGTCAAACAGGAATCTGACGATTTTGGGGCCTTAGCAGACATGATTAACCGTGAGTGTGAACGATTCAAACTACGCTCTTTAACGGACGATCAGTTTAAGTGTCTCATTTTCGTCGGTGCTCTACAATCGCCCAGTGATGCTGAAATCCGAATGCGGCTTTTAGCTAAGCTAGAGCAGGACCCTGATCTGACACTGAAGGCTCTCGTAAGCGAATGCAAGCGGCTTCTCACTCTAAAACACGACACTGCCATGGTCGAACGCAATGGTCTAGCATCACCAAATACCGTGCAACTCGTGAAAAAGACCATGACCGCCAAAGCAAGCAAATCCTTCAAGAGGCCTACGAAGAAACCGCCCACAGCATGCTGGTCATGCGGCGAATGGCATTTCGCTCGCTTTTGTCCCTTCAAACAACATATTTGTCAAACGTGCCATAAGCGTGGGCATAAGGAGGAATGCTGCAGTCAAGTCCGGTCGAAGAAAGTGCAGAAGTCTCACCGAAGGGTTAATTCTAGAAGGGGCGGCGCTGAATCTCTCTCCATAGTCGCCGCATTCCAAAGCGAGTGCAAACCGAGACGACGATTCATCACTGTATTAATCAATGGTATCCCAACGAAACTGCAAATTGACACGGCCTCAGACATTACCATCATTTCCAGGCGCACATGGAATCACCTAAAGAGGCCGAAGATGGTCGACTCCCAGAAAGTTGCACATAATGCATCCGGCGGTGTGTTACGCTTAGTGGGCGAACTCAATTGCAAGATTGCTTTCCAAGGTGTGGAGAAGTCGGGAACATGCTACATTTCGGACCGGCCGAATTTGAATCTTCTTGGCCTCGACTGGATTGAAAAGTTGAACCTCCTCGATGTTCCCTTGAATCAGATCTGCAACCGAGTTCGAGCAAGTCCAGACCCATCTGCAAAGTCCGTCGAAGACATGACACGTACCCTGAAGAGAAAATTTGCTTCTGTCTTTCAGGATGGCTTGGGTCACTGTACGAAATTCAAGGCAACACTGAACTTGCGACCAGGTGCTAAACCAGTGTTCAAGGCCAAAAGACCGGTACCATATGCAGCCATGTCAACCGTTGAGCAAGAGCTCGATCGACTGGAACGTGCCGGAGTCATCACAGCCGTCAACTACTCATCATGGGCCGCACCTATTGTCGCAGTGAAGAAAGCAAATGGCAAGGTACGCGTCTGTGCTGATTTTTCAACTGGCCTCAACGCCGCGCTGGACGACCATCAGTATCCCTTACCTGTACCGGAGGATATCTTTGCAAAGCTGAATGGTGGTAAGTACTTTGCAAAGCTTGATCTATCCGATGCTTACCTGCAAGTGGATGTTGACGAAGTCTCGAGGGAGTTGTTAACGATCAACACTCATCGTGGGCTATTCCAATACAACCGCTTGCCATTTGGTGTGAAAACGGCGCCAGCCATCTTTCAACAGTTGATGGATACCATGCTAGCGGGAGTTTCTGGAACCGCTGCATATCTGGACGACATCATAGTGATGGGTCGAACGCCGGAAGAACTCTTCAACCGCTTGGATGAAGTGCTATGTTGCATACAGTCGTACGGCTTCCGGATACGTGAGGATAAATGCACATTTTTCACGCCGCTCATCAAATACCTCGGGTTTATCCTCGAAAAGGATGGACGTCGACCAGATCCGGAAAACATCGAAGCCATTAGAAAAATGCCTCCACCCACAGATCTACAGTCTCTGCGTTCCTTTTGTGGGCTCATCAGCCACTACAGCGCATTTTTGCCTGAGATGCATCGCTTGCGTGCCCCGTTAAACAAGCTCCTATCCAAAGGACAACCTTGGAACTGGACAGCAGAATGTCAGAATGCCTTCGAACGCGTCAAGTCACTGTTGTCTTCAAACTTGCTTTTGACCCATTTCGATCCCTCCAAAGAGATCGTCCTAACCACAGATGCATCAAGCCATGGGATTGGTGCAGTAATTGCACACACGTACACGGATGGATCTCAAAAAGCAATCGCCCATGCCGCCAGAACCCTTACCAAGGCCGAGAAGAACTACAGTCAGATTGAGAAAGAAGCATTGGCCATAGTGTACGCGGTTAAGAAATTCCACAAAATGCTATACGGCCGCCGCTTCAAGCTTCTGACAGATCACAAACCCTTGCTCGCTATCTTTGGTTCGAAAAAGGGCATCCCGGCCTACACAGCCAACAGGCTACAACGTTGGGCTCTTACCTTAATGGGGTATGATTTCGAGATCCAATATCAGTCGACAGTTTCCATTGGCCAAGCAGATGCACTGTCACGCCTAATTGATACCCGTCAGCAAGAACATGAAGACACAATCATTGCCTCGGTGGAGATTGAACCAGACGTCAACTTTCTGGTAACTGATGCACTGCACTGTCTACCAGTTACCGCAGAAGCTGTACGGACCGAAACACTTCGGGACCCAATACTCAAGAAGGTTACTCAGTTTCACAAAACAAGTTGGCCACGTTCATGTCCATCCGCCGAGTTGCAACAGTATTTTCAGAGGAGACACTCACTCTCTATTGTAAACGATTGCATACTATTTTCGGAAAGAGTGGTCATCCCCAAGGCACTTCAGCAGCGCCTTATTCGACAGTTCCACGCCGGGCATCCTGGAATCAACCGGATGAAGGCGCTTGCCCGCAGTTATGTATACTGGCCCTTAATGGACAAACAGTTGGAAGAAATAGCCAGAAGCTGCCAAAAGTGTGCCGATGTCTTGAAAGCGCCACCGAAAGCAGAACTCTGTTCATGGCCAATAGCTACTAAGCCGTGGTGCCGCATTCATGTCGACTTTGCAGGGCCGATCAACGGGAGAAGTTTCCTCATTATAGTCGACTCATACAGCAAGTGGCCAGAAGTATTTCTCATGGATAACACCACCACCAATGCCACCATATCGAAACTGCGCCAAGCCTTTAGCAGATTCGGCTGTCCTGAGACAATGGTCACTGACAATGGCTCACAGTTTACTTCAGCAGCGTTTAAGGAGTTTTGCAAGCAATGCGCCGTCCAGCACGTTCGCTCGCCGCCGTTTCACCCACAGTCGAATGGCCAGGCAGAAAGATTTGTCGACACATTCAAGCGAGCCCTCCAAAAATCAAAAGGGGAGGGACGTATAGAGGAGGTGATTGACCGGTTCCTTTTCCTCTACCGATCAACACCGAATCCACAAGCACCAGACGGAGTCTCTCCAGCACAGGTTATGATGAACCGGAAGCTCCGCATGCCTTTCGACGCCATCCGACCGGGCTCGGAGTCCTCTGTTGGTGAAAGAAACCGCAGAATGGAACAGGAGTTTAACCGGCGGCATGGAGCAAAGAAGCGATCATTCACGCTTGGACAGAAGGTGCTAGTACGTGACTACCGGGATGGCCATGCGAAGTGGACGCCAGGGAGGGTCATAAGCAAGCGCGGAAACGTCATGTATGACGTGAAGGTGGGCGCACAGGTCTGGCCGCGGCATGCAAACCAGTTACGTCCCACATTGTGCCAGCCAGAACAAGAAAGGCCTACTGATCTCCCGTTCGATTTACTGGTGGAAA